GACTTCAGCGAAGGCTCCACAATTTGCCGCTGGGCGCCCACTGCAGCGCCCTGGTGGGCCGACCCAGTACTACGCGGCTCCAGCAAAAAAAACATCAGATACACTTGCTGCATTCCCTCAAAAAAAAAAAAGATACACTTGCTTCAGCGAATATTTGAACTCAGGGCAACGCAGGGCCGTACGTGCAGGCTAATCTCCAGAGCTACCAAGTTCTACTAACCAATGTTACAGCTAACTACTTAAGAAACCAATGAAACTGCGCTGTTTAAAAAAAAAGGTCACGAACAATCAAAAGAACTTCACGAATTTGTTTAAAAAAATAAAGGTTCACGTATTCAAAAAAGTTCACGGTTTTGAAAGTTCATGAAATTTTAAAGGTCACTAGTATAAGAAAAGTTCATGAATTTGGGAAAAAATGACGGATTTGAAAAGTTCATGAAAATTTCGAAAGGTTAAGGAAATACAAAATACTTCAAGAAAACTGAAAAACGTACAGTGAATTTGAAAAAAAATTAGTGCAGCATCCATTGATGCAGGAGGTCTCATGTTTGATTCTTTCTCGGGTAGCTTTTTTGCAGTATAGAAACCATCTCTACTACTAATAAACAATCAAACTATTTTTTTCTTAAAGCCACACAGCAGACGTACACAGCTTAATTGTCACCGTACGATTAGACCCGCTAACCTTAATCTAACAGCTAATCTTAATCTAATCTATTCTCTGGTGTGCATTTAGTATTTTACGTTGGCTGAACATGCTTCACCGCAGAGGAATAGGAATCTCCGCCCCGCACCTATGCAATCCCTACAATCACGCAGAGGGTGAAAAAAAAAGGAAAGTGATCGCAAGCGGATCCCCTCGCTCGCTAATTGCAAGGCCGCGACCCACGCCGCCGCCTGATCCTCCTCCGCAGAACCGACGAGTGCGCCGGCAGCACCTCCCATCCCCTCGTATCATCTCCCCTCTTATCATCTTCCCTATCCCTACCCAGAACGAGACCTCACAAGTCGCCGGATTAGAGGAGAGGAAAATTTGGTATGTTGTCGCAGACCCGATGCATTGCGCCTCCATTACAAATCCTAAATTCTACTTTTGATCTAGAGCTCCTACCTACTGGACTTGCTCGGCGTCACGGCCGATGAGGACGTTTACATCTCCCTCCTCATGGACTCCGCCGACACTGTCGAGGTCGCCGCCGTGCACACCCACATCGTCGCCACAGGTGTCGCGCCTGGTCTCCCTCCGCCGTTGCTCGCCTACGTGAGGTGTTCGGCGGAAAATTCCCTTCAACGACGGCATCACGTGGGCGACCATGGTGTCTGCATCCCGCCAGTTAGCGCCCTCCATATGCCTGGGTATGTTGGATTTGAGGCACTTGGCTTGGATCTTCCCGAGAGCAGAACACGTACGTACAGCTGCAAGCTAAGCAAGCTGCTGATTGATTTTACGCGTAGACGTTGGTCTGAACCTTCTGGCCGGCTACATAAGCAAGCACTCAGGCAGCTGGATGGATTCCGGGCACACAGCTTGCCGTGAACCTTGTACATCTTGGCTTGTCCTACCTTGCTTGGCTGGATTGATTCACTATTTTTTTTCAATTTGGATTTAAAGGCTAATGGAGTGTTTGCATCTGGTGCTGTCGATTTTGCAGAAATTGCTGCTCCAACAGGCAGCAAACCAATCATTTGATATTTAAGGGACAGCAGTCAGCAGGCGCTTTGAGGAAGCACTGGTGTCGGCAAATAAAAGAATGCTTTAGGTATACCTATTTACCCTTTTCAATTGGTTTGATGCCATCCGTATGTGATTCACCGACCAAGAATGGAAAAATTCCTTGCTATTAGAAATTTCTATGGTGGTGCTTCTTTAGGTTCCGCCTGAAAAATGTTCCAGTGCCAATAATCGGTTATACTTTGTAATGGTGATTCGTAATTTGGTCTAACTTTCTAATTATTAGCTACAGTTTACTTCAGTGATAATGCATGTACGCAACGGAAGAATTACTGGCTATGGATGATTACTATGAGCGTATGAAATTATGAGTTGTGTAGGTTTCTTAAGCTAGATCGGTTGTTCTAGCTTATGATGGTTAATTTTTTTATGAAATAGCAGTACTAGATTAGTTGTTCTAGCTTCTTTAGGTTGTAACCAATTGAAGGTAATTTGAAGATCGATCCCACAGCTGAGTATATTCCGTTTTTTATTAACCCGCAACAGAGTGTGTATAGGAAAATATACTTTTATGAATTGTTAGTGCTCGCTGTCCTTACTGTACTGTATCAGGTTGTTCATGTTCAAATTCTTCAGCGTTTTGTACACATGAAAGGTACTTCTGTAAATCAGTTTTTCAAATTGGCATCGATAAGATGCATATAGATGCATGTATCCTTCTAAAAAATTAGCACCAATGTTTCACTTGTTTCGTGAGATTGTTCCTTTTTCTTTTGGACAGCTTTTGGAGATTTTAAGATAGCTTTTTCTGTGGGCAAGCTGGACCTGATACTCAAAGGACCTTAAATTCTAACCAAAGATGACAATGTGGATGGTCACATTTCAAAGTGTTTTTTCTTTCTCAGACACATGTAAGTTTTGTCTCACTGTGTAAAGAATGGTTAAAAGATGAGAATCAGTATAAAGTGGGGATAGAGGATCATGCTTTCAAAGTTGGTCAGGTTTCACAATAATACGTGTGCATGTTTGTGTGTCATCGTCTTTAAAATGTTGTAGGTTCATTGGTGACAACCAAGAGCATGCTCAAAAATGGCATCGTCTTGCTTCGTTTCTTCGCCTCAGCTAAAGTGCTTAATCTTGAGAAGATGAAAGATAATTGATAGAGTACTCCTGACAAGTGCATTTGTCAAATTCTAGCCAACAGATTGAAAGCATGTCTACCTATTTGTGAGTTTCAGTTCCATTCAATCTTCCTTTTCTTTTTGGATCCAATGTAGAGGAGACCATGTGACTGGTTGTTGATTGCCCAAACACTATTTCCTCTACAAGAGTGTAAATGTTGTTGATGCTTGTTTCCAACATGCAAGGACATGAGCACACACATTTTGTGTATCTATCTAAATCTCCTCTACAAGAAGGTTTTCAAGTGCATAGACGAAGCACCTTTCGAATTTAAAGAAATGGTTGTTGATTTTAGTTAAACTAAATGAATCCCCACATGTTGTGGGAATGTTTTCTGGTACATTTTGTGTAAACTATCCAAATCATCACTTCGTTTTTGTAAATGATGAAATCATGCACTTGAAATAATTAACTTTTTATTCCAGGAATATTTTGCAAAATATTGTACTTACCATTTTAGATGCAATCCTTGCACATTATACAGATCACCTTTTCATTCATTCATTTGCACAAATAGCACATATGCATTATTTTAGAACTATAGATGTTTAATAATATAATGTGTGTCAGTGTTGACGTGCATTGCACGTGCAAGCTTACTAGTATAACTAAAGGGGAGATGGACAGGCCCGTTAGTATCGATGGAAGGGGAGAGGGTGTGTGCTCGTTAGCAGGAATTCCTGTAACGGGCGCTCAAGGCGCTGAATAGGACCTCCTTTTTTTTAGACAAACTATAGGACGCATACTGCGTCGAATGGAGCGCGCGCCGCACAGGGGAGTGCACGACTGGGCCGGCCCACTGGAGCTGATTCGCCTTGAACGCAAAACCGCGCGACGCAAGAAAAGCCCGAAAAATAAAGGAATCGAACGAGTATTCGATCAGCCAACTTCTTATACCTCAGAAAGCTATTAATAACAGAAAGTAGCGGCAGATTTGAAACATTTATGATTTTTCTTATATTTCTTTGAAATAACGAACAATTTTGAGATTCTCGTTCTTTCCGAAAATGCAAACAATTTAAAGAAACGGAACAAATTTCGTAATTCCAAACATATTTCGAAAACAGGAAGAAATGGTAACCTATTTTTGAAATCCTGAACTTCTTCTAAAAATGTGAACAATTTTTGAAAATTCCGCACATTTTTCAAAAAACATGGATTTTTTATATGCGAACTTTTTTATGAAATAAATGAACAAAAAGGAAAAAATAATTGAAAATGTGAACAATTTATGAATGTCAAACATTTTTTGAGCAGGTCAATTTTTCTCAAGTTTTTGAATTGTTTTGAAAAAATGAACAATTTTTAAAATGATAAACTCATTATCAATAACGTGAACATTTTTGAATATGAGAACACATTTTATAACCGTGAACAGTTTTTGAATTTGGGAACAAATTTTGTAATCACGAACATATTTTTAAAATCCGAATAAAATTTCCAAAACCCGAACTTTTTTGAAAAAAGTGCTTTTTGGTTTATACTTTTTTGAAAAGAAGCAAAAAAGAGAAGAAAAAGGTAAAAAGTAAAAGAAAACCAAAAAAAAGGAAAAGAAATAGATAACCCAGGAAAAGCCGGTCCAAAAAACCTTTAGAAGGTTCCAAAACCGGCTAAAACCGGCTTGAAACCATAGAAGGTTCCCAAAACCGAAAATGTGCTTAGGGCTGTAAATGGATCGCTGTGCAAAGCGTCGACAGTACGATGCAATATGCCCGGTTGATCGCTCGCTCGCACATCCCTGTGTGAAGCGTCGACAGTACGACACAAGGCACGTGGCGTAGGTATCAGCTGAGTTTATTTCCATGCCAGGGACAACCACAAGCAGCCTACACTTGGCCTACGTCAAAACACTTGACGACTAGTGATTTTTCTGTAGTGCAAGGTACCATATGCAACTCTTCTAATCAACAATCACAAAATATTCTCGATCTTCTTACCAGAAACAAGTTATCGTAAACCAAAGCATTTTGTGCTTAGGAGTGCTCACTAAAAAAAGATATCACGTCACATCTGATAACAACCAAGAAAATATGAAAATATCCGTGACACAATACATGAAGTTACGCAGTTTTTGACTCAAGGGTGCATTATGTGGTAGTGTCCCTAATTTTAATTAACTAGCTACATGTACATCACTACAGGCCCATCATTTCATCACACTCGTCATAGAGAAAAATGGCTTGAACGTCAGCGAGAGCCCGATTACTGACACCATGTTCAGCATGAAGAACAAGATATGATCACCTGCATATTGGATGATAAATAAAATAAGCATATGTTCTAATTATATGTGCCCGAATCCATTCAACTTAAAGCAAAGTATCAATATAAATGCAATTAGTATGGGTTGGACGACCAATGTGTTTACCTGGTAAGAACAATCCAGTTATGTTCTTTTGAGCCCATGAAAACCTGCAAAAAGGCAAGAGATTAGCTAACTATGAAGCACACTAGCGGCCAAGCAAAAACTTAGGGTCATTACTACTCAAAAAGCAAAAGAAACAATGTACATACAAAATTCCTCCGGCTGCTGGAGCTACTGCTTTAAAGATTGACATCAGAGTCATAGAGATACCATTAGGAACACCCCTTTGTTCTTGTATCTGTACATGTTTTCATCAAAAACGTTTGAACATAGCAAAAGCAACTCAAAGAAAATGCAACGAGACAGATGATACATACCACTTCTGTGTTTTGTAGAATGTTGCACGCAACAGTAATTGTAGCCTGTTCCATTTTAGATGATGCATTAGAATAGTTAAATTGTCTATTAAAATCACTATCCATGGAGCTTGTCTTCTCCAGGGATACTAAACGTTTAATTTTACTTCATTTGCACATGTGGTGCTCAAACATGATTTCTGTAGACCGCCCAAAAACCTTCATCATTATATTTATATTTTAAAACGGAAGATGTATTGCTCTTCCGGCCTATACACCAAGAAGATAAAAATGTTCGTAAAGGATGATTACTAATGTAAGCAATGAGGTGTAACTTTCTTTTGTATTGGATGAGTTCTAGCTTTTTGCTGAACTGTTGATCAACACCCCCAATTTGCATTTTTTTACTTTAACCAAAGCAACAAAAGAATATGCGAGACTTTCCGCAAACATATTCTTCAGAAGTGAAGCTATGTTGATGAGTACTTTGAGCTCCACACCATATAGTCTGCCCATGAATGGATATGTTGTAAGCAGAAGTATAGACAATACAGGAAAAAATAAACTTGCATTCAGTATTGTGCAATAGATTCATCGTATTGAATAATTATTTGACATTAAATGGTATTTGCACATACCGCTGCAGAACGAAATGGCTTGATTAACCCAGCATACTTGGCAAGGAGTGGATAAATCACAAGTTGATACACCAAAACACCAAAACCTACAAGATCGAACAAAACAGAATACGTTAAAGGGAGTCAAAACTAGTGTTACATGTAATAGGTAACGAAGCGATACTACATATGTGTTGATTTCATTCTTTCTGGATTAACTATGTTTCTCTTGCGCAATGATCATATTATGAAATTAGAAGGAACACCACATACCTGAGATAGCTAGCACGGCGCCAACATCCTGAGATGTCAAACTTAGTCCCCGATATTTTCTACTGCTCACAGCCCAAAGCGAAAATATCTGAAGATGAAATTACAAAACACATGCAAAGTTGCTTTAGTTCCTTATTAAAAAAATTGGTTTGGTTCCTAATCTGATTGTTCCCTATATGATAGATATGACGATAAGCATATGTTCATACTGTGTTACTCAATCTATTTCAGATACCTAAATATAGATTTACCTCGAGATAAGCTGTGTCATGAAGAGAGAAGACACAGTAGAGGGTTATTGCTGACATCAACTGACGGTTCTTTAGCAGGCTCTTCGTAGATGCCATTCTACCGGATCCACATTGTTTGGCTTTCCCATCTTCTATGTTCAAATCGGTAACTTGTGCGCCTATTTTGTCAATAGCTTCCATTTTGTCATCATGGTACATGTGCAGAGTTTCCTAAAAAAATTTATTCAAGTATAGAAATTCAAGGGTGATTAAAGAATAATAGGGAGATTTTGGTGGGCAATACCGGAAGCCAAATGCATGCAACACCTGCTGCCGCCGCTAGAGCTGATATGACGAAGCAAGGGAGGAAATATGGAAACCTAAAAGGATATGTAATTTGATAGGTTTATCTTATATTCCGAATGGTGCAATATTTATATCATTGAAACAGTATGAGTGATGACTTACCTTCCAAATATGGATTCCTCAGAGAAAAGATTTGGGTACTTCTTTGCAGGCTGGTAGAGGACAGGTAATACACAATGTTAGCGAAAGCCATTCATATATGATCACTAATCACTCTCCAAAGGGACATTATATGTTCATCCTGTGAATAAAAGTTCTGCTTCCACTTTTAACGATTAAAATATAAATATATGGAAATTCCCTCCGAATAAACCATTTCTAAATTTTCATTGAGATGCCATGATAGAAAAGTTCTAGCTATTGGTCCAGCCTTACGTTTTTGCTTCAACTATCATAGATGATACATTATCCCCAAGCTCTACACCATGGTTACATATAATTATGGCGACTCAATGAGTTACTGCAATAATGTCTTTGATGGACTACCATATGTGACATCTTTTCCATGCACCTGGAAGCTACTTGCCCTTTGTTTGATAAACTGGTTAAAAATACAACTTTAGTTCTTCAAGGTCGGTTCTGTATTTCTTTAGCTCTATATCAAAGTTGACTGGTCCTCACTCGTGCAAGAAATCCTCCAATGGCTGGCCCAATAATAAGAGCTATTGATCGCGAAGATGTAACCTGCGACATAATGGTAAACATAATTATCATCTAGTAACCGAGTCTGAAACACTAAACATAAAGATGAATTGTTCTTACAAAATTCCTAGAGCTTGGTGCTCTTTTCTGCAGACTTCTGAAGCATAGGCCTAAGGAATGCAAACATAACCATGGGTTAAACACCTAAGTACTTCTTAATTCATCTAGTCACTAAGACTAGCAAGTTTACCTTGATTGGTCCTAATATACCACAGAGTAACCCAAGTAGCCCCCTAGTAATAATTGCCATCCAGTAAGTCGTACTAAGGCCGAAGAGGGTGTTAAATACAATCCTGAAAAGGAAGGTGTATAATAGGATTTACATTGATTTAATTGAATGGAGAACAAAAATAAGTTTTCATATGTAACTGAATCTGCCATACACTGAGAGGATACTAATCATAATGCAAGGCTTCCTCCCGTATTTGTCAGCAAACATGCCCCATGGCACAGCACTAATGGTTCTTCCAAGGAAATATGAAGCCCCTTAAGACACATAGTTTACAGTCAGTAACTAAGTATTGATATAAAAAAACCGTCATCACATTATAATCTACTCAATGTACTTTATTGTAGGCTTTTCTTCCTGTGTTTCCTACAAATTTGTCAAATGGTCAGAGGGGACAATGAATGCTCACCGACAAAACCAGCATAGAATCCAATGTCTTGTTCTTGCTTTGCGACTTTCAAATCTTGAATCTGTTGCATCATAACAAAGGCAAACACATAATTAATCACCATTTAGTATGTAATAAAGCAAACATTAACTTGCATGCACACAATCAGAATATATAGATGTCCAAGTTATGCAACATCGATATCGCTACATACCATGAAGTACAAGTAGGGAAACAGAGACTGGATTGGTAGCGCTGGAAAGATAACAGGCCAGGGTGTTAGTTAGCAAGCCCTAAAATTTATAGGATGTGCTGATCTAAAACAACCTACATACATGTAAAGGTTTAAAAAAATCAGGTGACAAAAGAAAATTGGAGTTTCCTAACAAATCACATGGCTAATAAATAATGCAGAAAGACACGCACATGTTTGGAACCATGCATGTCTATATGTTGCGAAGTACGAAATCATCATCGGAGTATATATTGATTGAAATCAACTGGATCGTCTACTCCTAGTTATCATCATGAATCACATATACATACGTACACCAGACAATCTGGATGTTATGACATACTCTCTTCATTCCACAATGTAGTGCATAGTTGTTTTCTAAAAGCCAAATATGTCTACATTTGACAAAATTTAAAGAAAAATATATTCACACCCATGACACAAGATCAGTAAAATTATGTTCATCGGGAAGTGCTCTTTTATCTGCATGGAGGATGCATCATGCATTGCCTGGCCGGTACCCACGTGCGTACGAGTTGACTAGGTGCCCACCCGATCAACTTGTCGCCACCATGTGGTCCATGCCATCCTTACAAATACTAAACTCCCGAAGAATGGAGAGATGTGAGCATTTTGAGAGGTTTTTATGGGCCCATTCATCATCTGGTGATTTTTTTTCTTTTCTGTTATTCCTAGTGGACCATGTTCTTCAGCTGGTGAGAACCACATTTTTTTAGTTCAGCTGATGAGAAGTGTTGCATTGACATGCTTGGTTGGGGTTTCGCGGGTGTTGTGTTTCATACTTGTGTCTATGCCGGTGTGCTAACAAGGCACTGGAGACAGGAGACAATTCATCGTGTTGGCAAATGTCCAGCTCCATGGGCACACCCGCCTCCGGCCACCATGCCTTGATCCTATGTGCCACCACCCACAATGACTACACACCTCTCGAGCGGGTACCGGTGCTCTCCAGTTCAACGAACATGTTGTCAAGCCTCGCCTCTGGCTTCCTTTCGGTCCACCGCCGTCATCTGGCGGTAGCAATGCGGGTTGATATGAAAGTGGAGATGTGGTGACTGAACCATAAATTAACAGAGGAGACAAAGAGGAACATGAATCTAAGAGAAATCGAGCCAGAACTCACCAATGGCGAAGACTGAGGCATTGGTGTGGCGGTCGAAGTCGGGGAACAATCACTAGTAGAAAACAGGGCTTTGGTCCAGGCCGGGTCAGCCCATTAGTCCCGGTTCAGTCCAGAACCGGGACCAATGGGGGCATTGGTCCCGGTTCGTGAGCCTAGGGGGCCGGCCGGGCCACGTGGGCCATTGGTCCCGGTTCATCTGGACCTTTTGGTCCCGGTTGGTGGGACGAACCGGGACCAATGGGCCTCGCTCCTAGCCCACCACCATTGGTCCCGGTTGATGGCTTGAACCGGGACCAAAGGCTCCCCTTTAGTCCCGGTTCATGCCACCAACCGGGACCAATGAGGTGCCTATATATACCCCCTCGCGTAAGAGCAGAGCACACTGCTCTGTTTTTTTCTGGCCGAGGGGGAGAGAGCTTGGTGGTGCTCTAGCTCACCTCCTATGCACACAAGGTGTTCGATGGAATGCCCGAGCCACACTACTTAAGCTTTCTCCTCACCAAGCTCGACCTCCAAGCTCCATTTTCCATAATATTTGTCTAGGTTTAGTGGTCCGTCATGCCCCATCCCCGTCTTCACCGTCGTCGATCACCCGCGCCGAGCTCATCGCCGGCACCACCGTGGTGAGCCTCTTGTTCTTATCTTCTTTCTGAAAGGAAAATATTCTTACTTGTATGTTTACATAGATACTTGTATTATTTTCTTTCTTTTATTATTGCATCTTATATAGTGCGATGGTTTTGGTATCCGCCCCGTCGGCCCTCGTCCTGTCTATGATTCGGATGTGGTATATATATTATCTTTATAACTATTGGTTCATTTATTGTTTATGAAAATTATGCCGACCAACGTGACATAGATTTTATTTATGTAGGATGTATGTGAATCGGAAATGCCAACCGACCCTATTGTCGAGAGGTTAAATTTAGTTGAAGAAGAAAACAATTTGTTGAAGGAAAAAATAAAAAAATTGAGGAGGAGAAGATGATATTGGAGTTGCATGTTGCGGATGTCGTCGATGATCACAAGATCAAGATGGATACAATGCGCTTGAAGATTAGAAAGATTAGAAAATATGCCATTCATACCGAGGCTTGGTATCATTATGTCGTTGGATCAATTGTTACCTTGGTTGCGATTATGATCACATTTGTTTTCGCATTGAAATGTTTTACATAGTTTCAATGTATGGTTTAATTAATTAGATGTTGTGGAGAGCTATATGTTGTTAGATGAGAACTATGTATGCACTTTGGTTTTAATGTGATGATGAACTTCTATTAATTTGGACACTTAATTATATATAATGCACGCAGATGAACCGGCAATGGATGTACGATGACAGACAAACCTGCGAGTACATTAAGGGCGTGCATGAGTTTCTCGATGCGGCTGAGGCAAACAAGCAAAATGGTTTTATGTGTTGTCCATGCACTGAATGTGGGAATACGAGGTCTTACTCTAACCGGAAAATCCTTCATTCCCACCTGCTTTACAAGGGTTTCATGCCACACTATAATGTTTTGACGAGGCACGGAGAAATAGGGGTTATGATGGAAGATGGTGAAGAAGAAGAGTACGATGACAACTATGTGCCCCCTGAATACGGTGATGCTGCAACGAGGGGAGCTGGTGAAGATCAAGAGGAACCAGACGATGTGCCCAATGATGCTGCAACAGGTGAAGCTGCTGAAGATCAAGAGGAACCAGACGATGTGCCCGATGATTATGATCTCCGCCGGGTCATTGTCGATGCAAGGACATAATGCGAAAGTCAAAAGGAGAAGCTGAAGTTCGATCGCATGTTAGAGGATCACAAAAAAGGGTTGTACCCCAATTGCGAAGATGGCAACACAAAGCTCGGTATCGTACTGGAATTGCTGTAGTGGAAGGCAGAGAATGATATGGCTGACAAAGGATTTGAGAAGCTACTAAAAATATTGAAGAAGAAGCTTCCAAAGGATAACAAATTGCCCGACAGTACATACGCAGCAAAGAAGGTCGTATGCCCTCTAGGATTGGAGGTGGAGAAGATACATGCATGCCCTAATGACTGCATCCTCTACCGCGGTGCATACAAGTATCTGAACGCATGCCCGGTATGCGGTGCATTGCAGTATAAAATCAGACAAGATGACCCTGGTGATGTTGACGG